AAAATACCACGAGTATCCAGAACTCTCAGGGGTAAAGTTGTGTTCCATTAAATAATATTCCCTATGAATACAATATCCTTTTAAACTCAAAAAGTGAAAATTAAATAATAAAATGAAAATTTTTGAAAATACACCATATAGCTCACACTGCTCTATTTCTTAAGGTATAAGATGTTAGATTTCAGGGGTTACCTATCTCATTTGGTTCTTAGCAACCCTGTATTCTAGGCGGGGATTATTATTGCTGTCTTCAGATGAGGAAACTGACTTTGTCCACCTTCTCTTGGTTATTAGTGCCAGAATCAGGATAAGAACTGGCTTCTCTGACCAGGGAATACACTTAGGGATTATCAAGCATTTTCACAGTTGTTATCAAATTACTGTAGGGTTTAACAATGCAATGATTTTTTTTTTTTTTTAGGTGTTACTGAAGGCACTTGGCACTCCTTTATAAGCTATAGGTTGTTTTTTTTTTTTAATTTTTGTGTCTTTGTTTTGTTTTCTACTTGTCTCTTCATCAGCAGATTGTCAGCCATCAACAATTTCTGCTGCTGTTGTATTCCTGTCTTGAGGCCTCCCTTCTAGTTGGCAGCTACTGACCTATGGCAATAGAACAGTTCACCAAATTTGTTATAATTTGTAAATGAAAATATAAAATGAGGATAAGTAGGAGCAAATGAATTGGGCTTGGGCCTTGAGTTTTGTGCCATCTACTTTTTTGTTTACTTCTGGATTCTCATCTGTACTCATTATTCAAAGGGAGAATGCATGATCTTAGAACAAGTAAGTTCCATATACTTTTTACAGGTAATTCAGTTTTTATATAGGAAAATTAAAATTTTAGATCATAAGGCAATTCTATTAACATAGAATAGCTGAAATGTTATTCTTATATATTATGACTCAATCCCAAATTTTAAAAATTTCACATTATGAAGTCTCTGTTTTTAAATTGCCATTTTGCTGGTCTACCAAGTTATTTATTTATGATTTAAAAAGTGATTGTGGCTGTCAATATTACCACATAGTTCATGAATTATTTCCATGTTCATAATTAAGGTGATATTAATTAACTCCTAACAAAACTCCATTACATGCATTTTCACCTTGCAGTTAAAAATTTTTTAATGGACATGACCTCCTGTGGCCCGCTTTTCAGTTACTTCTCATTGCTAGCTTCTATTACTACTAGGGAAAGAGTTCTTGAACCTGCTAAAGATACTAAATATTTAATTATGTTCTTATCTGGTGTATTTTATGTCAGAACTATATTGTTTGCCTAATTGAGATGGTAACCTACAGAAATAAGGACTTATTCTTTTCTTTCTTCATCCTTTCCAATAAATCTAAGGTTATTAAATATTAATTTAATTAGTACAAATATGATAATATAAGGTTAGAAATCTGATTAGCTAATACCACACCCTGAAAACTTAAGAATTTAAAATGATTGCTATTATTTCTTCTTTTGAGAAAGATCAAGCAAGATGGTGACTTTTGGGGAGGGAGGATTTTGTCCATTAAACTAACATATGGAAATAAATTAGCCAAGGAAATTGACATAACTCAGAGACATGTCTATTATGAAGGAACACTTGTTAAAAGATATACTTTTATGTGGCATTTCATGCTCCAGTTCAGTCTTATGTAAAATGAAAGACTGAAAAAAGAAAAGACCAAGTCATATCTTCCAGGAGCTCATCATTTGGTAGCAAAGATAGACATATTCCTAAATAATTTAGATATTAGGCAGACTGATACGTGTGTAACAGAACTTTATGGGATATATTTTGAGGGGAAGGTAGAAAGAGGAAATCTTACTGAGGTAGGAAAAGAGTCTGGGAAGGCTTCTTGGAAAAGGTGCTGTTTGAATTGGGTCTTGAAGAAAACTGTTGTATTTTGGATAAGTAGCATTTCACAGTGAGAGAATTGTCTGAGTAAATGATGTATCAAGTAGCTTAAGTTTTATTGACACTGTATGTGCTAGGTATTTTAAATGCATTAACTCATTGGACTACAAACAGTCCTTCAAATAGGTACCAATATCTGAATTCACAGATAAGGAAAGTGAAGCTTGGAAAGGTTGATTTGCTCAAGATTGTATAGACGGTGGTGTCTGGAGCAGGGAGAAATCTGTCTGCCAGGCACAAAATCAGGAGGTGAGACTGGGTTCCAGCCTATTCAGGAAATGGACAGTGGGCCTGTAGGTATGAAGCATAGAACTGAGGGGAGGCTTAGGGCAGTGTTTCCCAAGTTTGCCTTACTCTAGGGATTGCTGGGGGCACTTGTTTAAAATAAAGATTTCCAAGCCAACTCTTCTGGAGATTCTGATCCTGTTGAGGTAGGGCAGGGCCTTAAAAATCTGTATGTCTAACAAGCACCTGAGGTGATCTTTTGATCAGGCAAGCTGGGCACACTTGATTAACTTGATTAATGTATAGCAGGAAATAGGCATCTAACTCCCAATTGGTGCTGAATTTTTTGTAGAATTGGAAATTTTTTTTTAAAGAGACTACACAGTTTGGACTTTATTCTCTATTTAATGGTGTGGCATTGAATGTTTCTGAGCAGGGGATGAAATTGTCAGGGTTGGTGAATTTCCCCCCTCTGAACCTCTTTGAGTTCTTATGGCGAGACTAATTATAAAATCGACACCTTTCACTTAGGAGATTTATTTCCTGCTTTCAGGGGTAAGAGAGAAAGGAGAGTCAAAATGCCCCTTTTTGCATCAGCTGCTTCTCAAGTAACTTTAATTCAAAATAATCAATATGCCATTGTGGCACATTTTGAGGTTGCTTGTCCTGGGCCCCAACATAATTATTAGATGCTTATAGAAAAAAATGAAGTGTTATTTATGGGAAGAAAATGTGTCCGTTTTTTTGTTGTTAAAATTTAAAATCTTTTTGGGGCTGGCCCCGTGGCCGAGTGGTTAAGTTCGCGTGCTCTGCTGCAGGCGGCCCAGTGTTTCGTTGGTTCGAATCCTGGGCGCGGACATGGCACTGCTCATCAGACCACGCTGAGGCAGCATCCCACATGCCACAGCTAGAAGAACCCACAACGAAGAATACACAACTATGTACCGGGGGGCTTTGGGGAGAAAAAGGAAAAAATAAAAATCTTTAATAAAAAAAAAAATTTAAATCTTTTTTTTTAATTTCCAATACGGTGCTATTAAAATGAGGAAAGTCTAACTTATTAAAGAGGTCCCTAAAACATTTCTTATTTTGGAATAGAATCTTAAGCAATTTTTAACATTTGAGATTGTGGTGAGAATAAGTATGTATGTTTTAACATGAAACATAATGTAACTATTATAGTGATTCCAACTTATTTTTATAATGTTGTTTCTCTGATTTTAAAAGTAATACTTTTATTGGATTTCAATACTGATGGAAATATTTGTTTCCCTTCCTTCCTGGATCCACTCTCTTCAAACTTCTGACCCCATTACTTCCTCCATCACTTTCAGCTGGCAAAGTTGCCTTCCACTTAGCAGAAAAAATAAACACCGTCACAGGGAGACCGCCTCAGCTTCCTGACTGCAACTGGCAGGTCAGCATCCACCCCTGCACCTTCTCTGGGAACTAGTTTCAGGGAAGAGGTGTCAGCAAGGTCATATTCCTCTCTCTGTGCCTTGGGTACCATCCCTTCCTGCCACCTCAAGGACCTCCTTTGTCCTTTATCCCTTTATGTACTAGTCCCCTGTCCTCCAGTTTGAGTGATATGTGGACCTCTTTTAAGGAAAAAACTCTTGCGGGTTTCCAGGGACCACTTAAACTTTTTTATTATAATTTTAAATAAGCAGGTATAAGTTCTGTGCTTTTTAGCTGTTATATAAGATGAAAGCAATTTTATAACACTACAAATAAACTACAAAATAAAATTCAATAGCTGGTATACAATGTAAAAAAGCACATTTATAAATTAATAGAAATAAAACCATAAAACTTAGGTTATTCAGATGTATGTAGTTTAAGGTCACAAATGAAACTAAGTTGCAGCTTGAAAGGTTAAACATTTGACTGCTACTGCTCAGAATCTTTGGAGTTTTTCGTGCCTAGATCGTTCTGGGCCAGGGAATGACGAATAATAACAAGATAAGTTAAGATTTCCTGTAGGAAATTTGCTGTGGCCCTACATGCCCTCGTTTGTTCTCCTTTGGCTATTCCATTAGAACTCTGTATTTAGCATAATACTTAGCACTATAAGTTATAAATTGTCCCTTCACCTTTCATGACCATGGTAGCTTAAGTTGAATCCCCAGCACCCATCCATTGATATCATAAAATAACATTATATCCTTCTTTTACTTGCTGTAACAGGAACATTTCCCCCATGCATTACTCTTTGAAAACATTTCTATTAACATCATAATATTTATCATATTTTATATATGTGTATTTAACTTTTCCCCTGTTGAACATTTAGATTGCTTTCAGCTTTTCACTTTTACAAATTTTATAAATGTTATTTGCTCCCCTTATTTTCTAAGAATAGATCTCTAATAGTTGAATTACTGGGTCCTGAGTAGGAAATACAATTTAGTGGTTAATCACTTCACTTCTTGGTTGGCTTTGTTGCCTGCTAACCATGCAACCACTAACAAGATGAATAACCTCTCTAAGCTTCAGTTTCCCTATTTTAGTATAGGGATATTTACTTCATAGTATGTGAATACTTAGCATAGTATATGAATAGAACAAGTAATTGGAGCAATGGCTGACTTTCATAAATGCTGGCTATTATTTTGTACTTGGAAAAAATACTTGTGGCTGGCCCGGTGGCACAGTGGTTAAGTGTGCACGGTCCGCTCTGGCGGCCTGGGGTTCGGCGGTTCAGATCCCGGGTGCGCACACGGCACCGACTGGCATGCCATGCTGTGGTAGGTGTCCGACGTGTAAAGTAGAGGAAGGTGAGCATGGATGTTAGCTCACGGCCAGTCTTCCTCAGCAAAAAGTGGAGGATTGGCAGTAGTTAGCTCAGGGCTAATCTTCCTGAAAAAAACCCCAAACAAACTCCATGTAGGTATTCACAAATGACAGGTAAATTTACCTGTTTACACTTCCAACTTCAGTCTTGAGAACACTTCATCAAATTATAAAATTTTGAGTTAGAAAATGGATATGCAATTGATTTCACAATACTGCCACCCACTTGAGGCACCTCTCTACAATATCTGCCGGGGAGAACTGTGAAAATGTTTGCACTTGGGAAACAGTAATAAAACCAAAGAAATAGTGGTGCGTATTTACATTACCTAAAAGCGTCCATTCCCTGCAGAGACGCAGAGGCCCTGAGGAAACACAGAGGGGTCGTTTCCTTTACCCAAAGGGAAACCCAGGCTGAACGCCTCTAAGGCTTTGGACAGCTGTTAGGCGTGGAAACAAAGTGCAAACTGGAAGGAAAAGGGAAAAAAACAGTGACTCTCCGCCTGTTTTAATAAGTTACGCTGTTCCAAAGGAGTGCGCTTAGGAGAGCGGAAACCATGAAGTTCAAGGTACTTCCATTCCTCCGAAACGCCCTCCCAGAAATTTCTGCTCAGCGCCTCCTTTCGGTTAACCTAGTTCACTCGGGAAGCTTCTCCGTCTCCCTGGCAACCGAGCTGCCACCAATTGCAGCTAAGGACGGGTGGTCACGTGGCCTCTGCCGCTGCCCTAGCGGAAGCAACATGGCGGCTCCGGCGAGCCGTCGCTGCGAGGTTTGAATTACTCCGCTTGTAGCCGCTGCCTCCCTGATGATGGCGTCTCCGGTTTTGTGCGGCTCGCGTCAGAGCCCAGAGCGCTCTTCACAAGAAGATGAGGATTGTGATCCTGAAGATCGGGTCAGCGACTCGGGTTCTTACTCCTCTGCGAGTAGCGATTATGAGTAAGGTTCTCGAAGAGGGACAATTAAATCCATCTCTTCAATTCAGGGTGTACACGTGGGCTGGGGAGACTGCAAGAGTGTTGGCGTGGTTAGGGTTGACTGTTTGAGGTTCTATAAAAAGTGAGATTGATTTGCGCCACGTTTCGATTGTGTGATATCGTGAGACGAAATGACGGTGCCATTCTTTGCTACTGTAGGGTTTTTATTCTTCTCAGATGACGAAGCTCGCCTCTTTGTGGTGTGTTCTATAATATGCGAGGGTGTATCTGTTAGAGTTCCTCAAACTCTCTATTCTATCGCAGTGGTTTCTTGCTTCTCTCGTGTCATGATCTTTGTGATTTTAACCTCATTACTGTTAGGACACCCTACATGTTTTCTAAGTTAGCTGTTTAAATTATGTAGATTTTTTTCCCTGTTGTAAAAATGAAGAGATATATAAATCCACCGTTAGTCTCACCGTCGAGGATAGCCTCTCTTAGCATTTTTGGGTATTTCTGCTGTACTTTCCGCTACATCCTCATGGTTTTCCTGTTTCATATTTTATGTCATAATGTAATTTTTAAAATACAGAATATCTAAGTATTTTCCACTTTTGTATCCTTAATAATAATGAAAAAGTTTTGATTCACAGTACCCAATGCTACTTCGATTTTGAAGGAATTATCCCTTACTGCTATGATTTAAGAACTTTTTGGAAAAGTTAATTAGTGGTAGCTTGAAATGACTAACAGTGAAAAGGTTCAGGTGCCAAAACATCAACCAACCCCACAGTGGACTGCCATATATAGGCAGTTTTAGGGTGACATTTTATCTGTATTTAGGAATAACACAAGTAGTTAATGTGTATTTAGAACTAACAGTCACTTGGCAATTATTTTCACCTATAGATATGTAAAACATTTTTATCATCTTTAAAAGCATCAGGAAAAGCATCACTAATGGCTGCTTACTATAGGGGCTTAATGAGGACAGGTTATATTCTTGAAGACTTCAACAAATTTAAGAAATCTTAAAATATCAAATATTTATGTAATCTAGGTCATTTAAAAATAATTACAAAATTCATGGATATCAAGCAAGGCTGCTGGAAGGAAGTATGGATTCTGTGGAACCTTGTTTGGTTTTGCTGTGGAAGCCATTGATAGTGTGAGACTCAACTCTTGGTCTCTCTCCATCTTAGAATCACACACTTTCAGCCCAGAGAGAATCTGTAATTTGCCCATAGTCACAGCTGAGTGTTGTCAGTGTAGCTATTTAGACCTGATTTCACATGGGACGCCCTGATTTTGGTGCTGGGAAGTTCAACGAGCTAGCTGCAGACTCACCAATGCAAGAGGTGGCCTTCCCAGCTTGGACAGGACCAAAGGCATAGGGATATGATCCTAATCTTTCTCGTCAAAGCTAAGAGATATGAATTGCCTTTTGTCTTTCATCGCCTAAGTGAAGGTTATTAAGGAAGTTATGCTACTTATTGATTCTCATACAGTATCCTGAACTTTCAGGGTGCTGGGTAGTTAATTATATGCATATTCTTTCTGGGAATTGTCGTTGTTTCATACATGTTTTGTAACTGGAAATCAGTTTGAGCTGCATGTGATTATCAATACAGAATTATAAGTTTATCGTTTTTAAGATAAAATTACTTTAGCGTTCATTGCAGTGAAGCACATTTAATAGGTATATTTAACACTTATTATATAAGAGGAAAATTTTAGATTAGTGCAGTACATCTTAACCTGGCACGTTGGCAGGTCCCTGGGGAAGCTTCAGAAGTAAGACTGGTGAGTAGCTTGGGTTGAGGGAACCAATGACTAGTTTCAGTATTGAAATAACAGAAATCATACATTTATTTGCAGTAGTGCCACATTGCTTTGCTTTGGTTTGCAGCGCTCAACTCATTGAGCAGCTTTGGTTAGTTCATGTTGGCCAGAGTTATCAATTTTATGACTTAGGTTTTTGATTTTTTCAAAGTGAATCTTTTGTTGTTACTGTTTTAAAACCTTGACTGTTAGAAAAGAGATACTTTTAAGAGAGAATTTAGCTGTAAAAAGCTAAGAACTTCCACTGAAAGCATGACTGGAGAAGAAGGGAAATATATCCTTTAAATTTTTTTCTGGGATTTTTTAACAGCTTTATTGAAGTATAATTGACATAGAATGAACTGAATGTATTTAAATTGTGCACTTTGATAAGTTTTGACATGTATACATCTGTCAAGAGAATGAACATATCCATCTCGTCCAGAAGTCTCCCCATGTACCTCCCTAAGATTGTTCACGCCCCCCCTTTACTCCTTACAACCACTTATCTGCTTTCTGTCATTATAGATGAGTTTTATTCTCTAGAGTTTTGTAAAAATGGAATCATACAGTATGGACCCTCTTTTTTTGTATGGCGTCTTTATTCGGCATAATTATTTTGAGACTCATCCATGTTGTTGCCTGTATGTCATTCATTCTTTTTTATTTCTGAATAGGATTCCATTGTATGAATATACCAAGATTTATCTTTTTCTTGGGTTTTAATATGAGAACATACTACCTGAAGAATCAAAACATTGCATTCAGTCATGATGCCATTGTTAACATCCAATTTAGGATAATTCCCTTTTTCCTCTCCTGCTGTGAACCATGACTTTTATCCTTTTTTCTTTTTTGCTGAGAAAGATTCACCCTGAGCTAACATCCACTGCCAATCTTCCTCTTTTTGTATGTGAGCCACTGCCATAGCATGGCGACTGACAGATGAGTGGTGTAGGTCGACACCCGGGAACCAAACCCGGGCTGTCAAAGCAGAGTGTGTCAAACTTAACCACTAGGCCACCAGAGCTGGCCCTCATTTTACTTTTAATTTAATTTTTCTTTTATCAAATGATACAGATTAAAAAGTCAAATAGTATGTAACTAAGTTTATGATGAGAAATGGTAGTTCTCTGCTACCATCTTTGTCCACTTCCAGCTCAGCATATTTGAAGAGAACTCATTATCTTCCTTGGTCCTCCTCTGGTGTTGCCCATCTTATTTACTGATATCACTCTCTCTTTGCTCGTGTCTTCCTGTCTAGTAAGTGTCCAATCCTGGAGACTTCGTTTTCTGATATCCACCCCTCCTTCTTCACTTCTGCCTTCTCACAGGCACTGCCTTACCTAAAGGGCTTGCCTCTCCCATACACCAGTAAAGTAGCCTTCTAACTGGTCTAGAAGCCTCTAATTTCTCCCATTTCCAGTCTTTCTTCCATAGAGCTAACAGAGTTTGCTTTCTAAAGCACAGTTGTAAATCATTTTCCTTTTAGAGAACCTACTACAAGAAGATATAACTTGGCAGTTTGGATCAAAAATAGAATAAACACATGCATGAATATTACCAGTGAAGCTAACTAAAATGAAGCAGATATCCATGTGCTTAACTAGGTCTTCCTTATGATCAGGAAGAGATGGCTCAAATTAAAACCTAACAGCAATATGTCAGGCTTGATCGCTGATGATTGTATTGTTCAAATAATTCAACCACTTCAGTTACAATGGAATTTCTTTATAAGATTGCCTGAAATAACAGAGACTTTTGAAAATGAGACTAATTCTGATAGTATCAATACCACATTTTCAATGTCAATATAGTTTTTTCCACAGATGGTTATGGAGGCATCCTGGTGTAGTGTAATGAGTACTGGATTAAGAGTAGGGGTTGGACAACCTATGTTCTAGTCATCCCTGCCACTAACCGTGTGGCCTTAGATGTGTCACATAGCTTCTGTGAGCATCAGTTTTCACATGTGAAAATGAGAATGAAACTGCTCACTCAACTCTGAAGTTTGTTGACTGAATGTTTGCTTAAATCCTAGGAATGGGAACATCGTGACTAGTTGATGAGGTAGATGATGATGAGATATTGACAGGAAGACAGGAGATTGACGTTGGAGGCGACATGTATTTGATTTGGAGGAGGGTTAATCCAAACTGAATTTAATTTCCTCATTTTTTTCCCCCAGCTTTGTTGAAGCATAATTAACTTATAAAAATTGTATGTATTTAAGGCATATAATCTGATGATTTGATATATGCTTACATTAGTAGATTCTCTAAGAGGAATGCACATGCTGTTTTACAAGTCTATTTTGCTTGTCTGAAAGTGTTAACTTTTTTATTTCATCAAATTTTCCCTAGTCTTGAGGGATTCAAAATTAGAGGAATTTTTGGTTATAACTTATTGTTTTACAGGATGACTCTTATAATGGAGTTTTCTCATCCTTCTCAGAGGTTTCACAACTTGCTCCATCTTGAAGGGATGTATTCTAAGGGGCAGATGTGGCTAAAGAGAAAACTAAAGGCTGAGCCTGCAAACCTTCTTTCGACCTCTGGTGTCTAACTTAGACCTTCCATTTCCTGTTTGGAAATGAAATCTTGTGTAGATGACCTAGGAAAGTCATGCTTTTCTTTAACATGAAACTATCTTCCTGGTATTGAGAAACTTATGGGCCTTCATCTATTCTGACTTCTATTTTACAGTTTAAAACATTAGGATAATTGTATTAGGGCAGTGAAACTACTCTGTGTGGTACTATTATGATGGATGACACTTGTCATTATACATCTGTCCAAACCCGTAGAATGTACGACACCAAGAGTGAACTGTAATGTAATCTATGGATTTTGGGTGATTATGATGTGTCAGTACAAATTCATTGATTGTAACAAATGTATCGGTCTAGTGGGAGATATTGGTAATAGAGGAGGCTATGCATGTGGGGTGCAGGGAATATACGGGAAATCTCTGTACTTTCCACTCATTTCTGCTTTGAACCTAAAACTGCTCTAAAATAGTAAAGTCTACTAAATCATTTTTCCACTCTGCTCAAAAGGTTGGTGGCCTGCCAAATAAATTCTAGATTCCTTAGTATGATTTTAAAGTTCTTTTAGAGCTACCCGTAGCTTTTCTGATGTCATCTTAATGATCCTCCTCTTTTAAGCCACCAGTGTCCCTACTTGTCTAACCTGGGCTGCT